GTACAGGTGAGGAATGGGAGATCTGTACAAACAGGGGGGGGAAAATATGCACATGTCAACCACATGTGTTGGTGGAAATCTGTGGAAATTTGCGAGATTATTGTTGATTCCTGTCCATTTCTACCCGGAATCACATATGGACTTCCATAGTTAGTGAGGAAACTCCTAAGCTCAGCTGAGCAAAGCGAGCATATATTCAAACACTGGTTACAAAACTGACGTCTGGAGAGAGAGTTTGATATTTTGGTTGGTCGCGTGGTAAAGCGGTAAAGCGCTGGTGTATATATCTGAAGGTCGTGGGCTCGATTTCATCCACATGAGCTATTCTGGACCTCTCTATGACGTTAGCAGGTCTACTGTGTTGTCTGCTGAGGCAGAGGCACTAGATGATGCTTTGGGTGACACTGAGAGGTGACTCATTGCTGGCAGCCTTGCCGATCTAAATGATAACTGTAGGTCTCTAGGAACGAACAAGATTCGAGTGAAGACCGTTCCCATGGAGGAGACCATAGCTCTCGCTGCTAATTTATTAGCATCACCCGGGAGATACGCGTGGGGCCGCCCCACCCCTACTCCTGAGATGATTTGGTCCGCAGATTCGCCGTGGCCAAGCTTTCGAGGTTGTCCCCAACGACTTCCCCTGGAACTTCCCCGCTCATTCACTTACAAAGTTTCAGCAAGGTGGGTTTCTCGTTCCCCCTCATAGATGAGTGACGCTTCGAAGACAGCTAAATTCCAACTCAATACATATAATCGCTAGTTATTATTCCTGTCCTCCGTTGAAACTTCAGCTGAAAACCGCTATTCGTTAACGATAAATGCTGAATTCTACGAAATTTCTAGAAGAAAAAATATATGCCTTAGGGACATCAGATACCATTTTATGTAGTTCAGCTTCTTAGGTGGGGTATGAGTCCTATCCCGAGGCCTTCGTCCAGTTCATGATCAGACTCGCCAACCCGGGCTTATTCGATACCACAACTCTCTCTCCTCAGCAACAAGCCGTACGTGAGTCCGTCGAGAATCTGTTTAGGTTGTATATTAGGAGGAGGAAGCCTTGAGCCAGTTGTATGCCGGGATGGAGACCGAGGACCCGAGGCTGTACCTTACCTATCGCTCCAATGAGAGTTTGGTGATTGATGCTGAGAAATTGGTGACATCCTCTGGATGATGAAGTATTAACTGCCTCTTATCAGTCGGATTCACCCATTCGGTATCGTGCTGGACAAGTGTGACGAATTCACAAGTGGGAAGTGGCGTTCTAATGAGAGTATTACTCCCCAGTTCAGGTCGAGCCGTCGGCAAGTCATCGGAGACTGCGTGCAACTGAACATATCTCGGCCTCTTGCTGGGCCCATGCAGTTGTGCCTGCCGATGGCCC